TTTAAGCCAGAATTATTTGACATTTAAATATGTTTTCCCTATGACTTTAACTGAAACCTGGCAGGGATTTTTGGTGCCCTGACATAATTTCTCCTTTTTTGTCTGTTGCTTTCTGGGCAACACTTTACTGAGAAGAGTTTGAAAGAGTTTCTATAAGAAGCTTATGACCCAAACAGGAAGTGAATCATTGATTCGTGAATCATTCAGGGCAAAAATGAGGAACCATGGCGTGCCACCGCTTCAGTGTGGTTTCACTATGTTTTAATTCAGATAACGAAAATATCCCATTGAAGTTTTAGGTTTTGTAACATCAGTGGTTTGAAATAAAATCTGTTTAATAATCTGAATAAAAAAGGAAGATGATGTAAAACCTTTTAAGGATTGGTCTCCATAGCAGTCTGCTCCACTCACCTTCAAGTCGGCTGACAGACGAGTCCAGGTTGACGTCTGGGCGGCCATCTTTGCTGAGGAATCGAGAAATCTGTGGCGTACGTCCCTTAAAGTCTGTGGTGGAGGCTGTAAAGAGCTCCTCATCTGCAGAGAGAGAAAACCCAACAGATGGTGCTGAGCTTAGAAAAAAGGGAAGCTTGACCCAGTCAAACCAGTGAGTTACAATATGGAAGAAAGAACTGGTTGTTTTTTTTATGAACTCGTTAAAGCCTCCATTTTATCAGCAGATTGAACGAAAACCTCTGAATGTTGAACGTTTCTCAGGATGAAGGATCTGAGTCACAGAATAGAGAAATTAAACACTCTTCAGAACCGTCAAGAACATCTTAAAAAAAACGCCCCAACATTTCCAGCTGACTGAAACCGCACCATCCTGGAATCACCTGATTTCACTCCACCAGTTCACTCTACTGTTGGCAGCGGTTCCCATGGAGACAGAAAAGCTTAGTAGAACCTGAAGATTCTGGACTGAACTGTGGTGCCAGCGCTGCAGAGCTTGCTCAGTCTGGCAGCAGGTGGCTGTGAGTCAAGCTGCTTCATTGTAGAAGAAACCGTTATGGACAGGTTGGAATCCTGCAGAAGATGGAAGCAAGACTGAGGCAGACTTCCTCTTCTGTCTCTGATCGTTTAGGGCAGCGGTCTCTAACCGTGGTCCTCAACGTCTAGTGTCCTAAAGATTTTAGATTTGTTCCTGCTTCAACACAGGGATGCAGCTAAAACTTTCAGGAGAGCGTTCTGAGCAGCTGCCTCACTGTGTGGTGTGGAGGCTGCAGCGCCTCAGACTGGTGAACTGTTGGATAAACTCTAAATCACAGACTCTGCATCAAACTGATAACACCAAACCAACAATACTGCAGATTTCCACCATATATATTAATGCTTTTAACTTCCAGATCAATGCATTTTTTACATTTGATTGATGCTGTACTTTATGGAATGAAAATGTCATGAAAGCTGTACAAAACTAAATTTCGTTTTGTATACACTCTGTGTACAAAATGGCAATAAAAGTTGTCTATGTCTAAAGCCTGGTTGCTAACTGAGACGTAGTGAAACCTCAATACAATCTGAGAGCTAACTTAAATAAAACCTACAAACGGACGTGCAGGTTTGAATCCCACCTCTGGTCCTTTGCTGCATGGCTCTCCCTCTCTCTCATTCCCCCTTTCCTGTCAGCCTACTGTCAGGAAAACGAGCCACTAGAGTAAAAACTAAAAAAAAACCCTACAAACTCGAATCTGCATAAACATCATGTTACAAAAAACAGAACTTACTTCCCTCCTAAAACCTCCTCTGCCTGCAGATCTTTTTTATGTGAAGGCATAGGCGGATCTACTGGGGTGGCATAGGGTGGCAACTGCCACCCTAAAAGACAGCCTTGCCACCCCAGTTGGCTGTAGGGGTGGCGAGGCT